GGTGAACATAGGCAATTCATCTGTATAAAAATTTGATCTAATTAGTGCACCAAAGTGTTAGTTTTTTTACGTTTTATGTCTGTAATGGAGGGGTGGGGTGGAGTACAGGGGAGCCGCAAAAACCTAACAATTCAACTTACAATCATTATTTTCTTCGAAAATATATGTGAGTTCCACAAAATGCAAAAAATTTGAAATAGGGTAATATAAGTAACAGCACGCATGAAAATCGGTTAAAAAAGTTAAAAGAATCACTAAAATCTCCTTAATGTTTGTTACGAAATTGGATCTTTTCGATCGTAGAAATACCTTTAAAGCTTGTTTTTTTCTTAATTGAGTGGATTTATTCAGCAGCGTTCAACAGGAATTCAATATAGGAATATATTCAGTACAGATCTGCTTCAAAGTTTAACTGGATTGTAAGGGGAAACGATGTTTTTGTTCGATTTCTTGCAAAAGGTCTAACCTACTCAACTTTCAGCCGAACGACAAGAAGAAAAACACCCAGAAGTGAGTCATATCTTCCAAGCAAATAAAACCAAAACATAAATGCTTTCAATTTAGGAAACTTTCCTTCAAGCATCACCTCACGATCGACTACCAAATGGCTCCACATTTTCACCAGACATTCGTTCGATCCTCCATCTACATGGCCGAATACCATTCGTAATTTAAAAATTTAATCGTCCTTCCCAAAAACAAAATTTTCTTCTTTTTAGACCAAATTAACTGAACCACGTCCTGATAATGCTGTTGATAATGAATTTAATTAAAAATTGCGCAATTCCGAACAAGTACCTATTGTATTTCAATTATTAAAAAAAAATTGTTTCTTTTAGAGGAATTATCTGAACCACAACTTGCTCGTCCTATTGAAAATGAACCAGGCATCGAATCGAAAAAATCAAATCAAGTAACGTTTGAATTTCAACCTCCTGAATATCACTTTCATTCAGTAGCACTCTCAATATTCAATAAACTCAAGAGAATATAAACGAATGGACTTCTTTTTTACAAGCTGATTCTTCACAACAATGTGTATGCTAGCACTGCTTGGGTTTTTCCAGTTTTATCCGTCATTATTGAGCATTTATATTTTTTTAACGGAGAATGAAAATGTTTAATTTCTTCTAAAATAGAAAGCTTATTTCGATGTTGATAATACCATGGAAGATAAAAGTAATGTACTTACATTGTCTAGATTTACCGAAAAACAAAACGTAATGAAAAAACTAAAAGGAAAACAAAAATAGTTAAATTTGATGATAGTACTGAAATTCAACTAATTGATTCAAATCCATATCATGAGAATGACAGAGTACACGTCATATCGTTTCAGTCTGTTCCATCTTAAATGACACTGAATAATCAAAACTCCACGAATAAAAGAAAATATTTCTAATGAATCAACAAACTTATTCAAGAATATACTCGCTCATATATACTCTGTTTCGGACGACTTAATTCTCGACACTGAAATATCATAATACGAAGAAACCAGTAAATGGATAGAAAATGTGCATTTTCACAATAAAAAACAAAATGAGTCGTTTCATAAAGATTATACTACGTTTTTTATGTAAACTTCTCGTCGAAAGCTGAAAAATGAAGCTGATAGATTGGACTGTTATTCTGTGGTAATTTTTACGACCAATTTTGTTCACATTTGTTATTCTTCAACCTTGTAGCCATCAATCAAGCACAATTTTTAATTTGTAGGCATGATAACAAGAATCGTATTCATTGATGAAAAACATTATATAACTGCAATAAAACAACCGTACTATTCATATGCAGTAATTCACAACGTCGAACTAAATTGAAATCTAATTATAGAGTTAATTAATCATTTTCCATATTACGCATTCATGAATAATGAAAATCCGAAACGAATATGGACTATTCACGCTTATTTCATTTGACTAGTGTTAGTGTTGATACGAATTGATTATTGTATGACGATTACATTAAATCAAACACATTTAACTACAATATTTGTAACTATTCATTTTGATGATGTTGAAGAACAAAACGTTTTCTCATTAATATTTTGGATCTAGAAGCGATTGGAGATCATTTTACTGATTGAAATATTTTTTTCGATACTTTCAATAATGAACATAATTGAAAAACGTGTACCACGTCTGCTTGCTCTAGACTAACGCAAGTAGAAGTTTTTTCGTATTGTCAAAATTGAAATTTTATCATTTACTATTTGATTCTTTTTTTTCTATCAACAATGATGAATTTTAAAGCTGTCCTTTTAGTCTTTTCAAGAATAAACTTGCTAATTTAAAATACTTGTCACTGATTCATAAATATATGTTGATCTATTTGTTTTCATAATCAAAATTTCTTACCATCACAGGAAGATATTCAATATAGAATTTTCGTTATTTTCTAATGAAAAATGTATGTCGAATATAAAAGATCGTCAATAAATGTTGTCGGTGCATATACGATGTAACACGACAACATAAAAGATCAATTAGCGGTCTAGTGAATATAACAAGATTTGTTTTTTTGTNTTTTTTTTCGATTTTTAAAATAAACATTATTCAAATAACTGAAATTTTTTCTTTTCACTTTACTTATCCATATTTTCACTTCAACAATAAATATTTTTATGTTAACAATAAATTATTTCAAAATAACTCAAATTTTATTTTACATTTGAATAATACAAAATTTTATTTTCATTTCAATCATATAATTTTCATGCAAATAATACAAAATTTATTTTCACTTAAATAATACAAAATTTATTTTCACTTAAATAATACAAAATTTTATTTTCATTGAGGAATAAAATATTTTCAAAGTAACAAAAAATGTATTCATACCAATAATAAATATTTTCAAAAGCATACAAATTATATTTTCATTCAAATAATACAAAATTTTCATTTCATTTAAATAATACAAATTTGTAAAAATAATACAAACTTTCATTTCATTCAAACAACACAAAATTTTATTTTCATTGAGATCATAAAACTTGTAAAACTAATACAAAATTTATTTTTCATTTGAGGAATAAAATATTTTCAAAGTAATACAAATTTGATTTGATTTCACGGATAAATAAATAAATGTTACTACTAAATTATTTTATTTTACTAATATTTTTTTTTCAATTTACTAAAAATTTATTTTCAATTTACTACTAAAATAAATTTATTTTACTAATAATTTTTTTTTCATTTTAGTAAAAAATTATTTTGCATTTTACTAATGAATATTTTTATGAAAATAATTCAAAATTTTATTTTTTCATTCGAGTAATAAATATTTTTATTTCAAACAATAAATAATTTCAAAAGAACTCAAATTTTATTTTTATTTCTCTAATAAATAAATTAAATTTTACTAATAAATATTTTTATGAAAATAATACAAAAATTAATTTTTGCATTGAAATCATAAATATTTTCAAAACAATTTATTTTTTCACTTTAATAATTAATATTTTTTGAGAAAAATAATTTTTATTTAATTCATTTCTTTTCACTTAACAAATAAATAAAAAAAGAAGAAGAAAAGAAACATATGACGTAATTTTATATTTTTTCTTTTCTTTGAAGCGAAAGAGTTAAAGAAAATTTATTTGTTTTTGTTCATTTATTTCAAAGTATGGAAAAAGAAACGAACAAAGAAAAAACAAGTCACAAGTCTTATTCGATAGAAAATCGTTGAACACGATTATTATTACGATCGGCGACATAGAGATTACCATGTCGATCGAAAGACAAACTAACGGGGCAGTTGAACTGGTTTGCTCCTTCTCCTTCGCCATTTCCACCCACAATTATAGTGCCTTGTTTCTTGTCTCCTTGAGTCCAACGCATCACACGATGATTCTCCGAGTCTGCTACATAGAGTGTACCCAACGTATCAACGAAGATTCCATTAGGCAAAGACAATTGTGCAAGAGCATTCCCTTGGCCTTGTCCTCCAGCGACCACAATACCTTCTTTTGCACCTTTATTCCATTTCATTACACGATGCTTGCTGTGGTCTGATACGTAGACAGTCTGTTGTCGATCGACAAAGAGAGATGTCGGCACGTTGAGTTGATTGAGACCATTACCTTGCCCATTACCACCAGCTACGAGAGTACCATTCTTCTCACCCAATTGATATCGTCTTACTTCATGTTTTCCGCGGTCAGAGACGTAGATATATCTATGCTCATCCATTGCTAATCCCCAACAATCGATGGTGTCGATGAGTATTTCACCTTGTGTTGTACCACTACGACGAGACCATCGTACAACTCGTCGATTCCCTTGATCACAAATAATGATACTATCCGTCTCTTTGTCGATTAAGACATCAGTTGGCTGATTCAATTGATGTAATCCATTTCCTGAGCCTTTACCACCAGCAGCAACTTGTCCATTCGTTGTATCACCGTTTTTCCATTGCATGATACGATGATTCGCGTGATCAGCAATAACCACTGTTTGATCATCATCAACGAAGAGACCACGAGGCCAGTGGAGTTGATTAGTGGCACCCCCTTGTCCGTGACCTCCGGCAATAGTCACTCCGTTCTGTGTCCACGTAGCATTAGCAGGAATATTAACTAGAAGAGAAAACGCATAAGAATCAGATGAGATCTTTCTCTCTCTCGGGTATCGAGTAAAATTCTTTGAATAGATCATTCTTTCTTTTTTTTGCTAGAAATTCCTCAGAATAATCTATATACTGGAAGATTATTCTATAGAAACATAATAGAGTTCTCTCTAATGCTCTTTTTTCTTACATCAAAATCGTTCTATATTTTGCTTTGTATTTTTTGAGAGTCTATATTTTCTATGAACATATATGAGCTTATCATATGCGTACGCAATGTATTATTTTCTTATCTTGAGGATGTCAATTTACAGTTTATTTTTGTTTAATTTCGTGAAAAGTTAATTTAATTCTAAATTGCTACGAGGGAAATACGTGATATTAACAGTAGTAAATATACTAATTTTTCATTTAAAGTCAAAATTTCTCTACAGATTATGCAGGATCCGTCACCTTTCTTCTTCAAAAACATCGGGATGCTCATAACTATATATATTTCATAACAAAATTCGTAGAAGAATGACTATAGTTTTATCAAATATTTGACTTTAAATAGTAGCAATCAAGTCAAGAGCTATGTTTATCTACTCGGTTTCAAAATTCAGTTAAATTTAAATGTCACACCCCTATTTCGTATGATCAAAAAATATATTTTTGGCTAGAATCTTTTTCGTTTTCTCTTCAATAGAGCATTTCTTACTTCTAGAATATTTTTGACTTATAATTATAGTGGAGCAATAGAAATATATATTGGAATCAGAGGAATAATTCTCGTTTAACCCTTTGCCCCGACTTTTTTTTTACTGAATTTAAGCTTACAAAAACATACTAGTATGCATCTAGATAATACAACGAAGCCTTTGGTTACATTACATAAAAGGAATTGTGATTATATGACTGTATATTTAATAATTTCAATGTTGATATACATAGTTTTGATGATGCAAAGAAAAACAATTTTTCACACATAAACAAACACCACAAAAAGTACACATCACATCTGTTCTTTTTTCTTCTTCTTCTTTCGTGCTACAATAAGCACATCGACGACGAGTTGAAATAACTTCTGGCATATGAGCTAAGAGTTTTGGTTTTTCACTGTTTTCCTTGCCACTAATGCTCTTTTCGATATGCGCACATTCTTCTGATTACTTATTGCTAAAGGTCGTCCTATCC